TGGGTCCTTAACATGAAAAAGTTTGGGAACTCTTCAACAAACTCTTCTTCCTTCCTCTGACTTTCTCTAGTAAAAAATCTCTCCTCCCTCTTTTTTCAAAGAGTTTTATTCCTGGCAAGAACATGGGTGTGTCAGTAGTTTGTCATATGCTTACTGTCTGACTGTTGAACATAAAAGTCAGCATTTTCACTAGAAGTAATATTTCTTCATAGTGAAATGAGGAATGAATTTGCACTTCAGATACAGAAAATAAAACACCGCCCTAGTACAACACTCTCGTGCAGTGCAGGGAGTTAAAACCTAAGTTAATCCTATTACACTGTTCAACAAAGGTGAAGCTGCTGCTGCGGTGTATCTGTCTGATTGTAGTTAGCTGCAGTTTTCTGTCTCGTGACTTATAGTCACACATTAACCTGCCGCAGTGGTCGTCTGGGGGGGGGGGGAACTTCNNGGGGGGGGGGGGGAGCTGAGTAACTTCTGCCTCTCTGCACTTGAGCAAACCTTTCCACAGTGTCTTTTAACTAAAACATTTCATATGACCTTGTATTATTTGTTTATTTTAATGTGTGTCAGGATGTCCACGGGGCATTAACAGCTCTTAAACATTGATTCTCGCTTTTAAATGTGTTTTTAGGAACTACAGACTGAAACTAAAAGGGAACCAATACTGATTCTCTTTAATCCTTTGTACCATGCAAGTTTGGACATAAAATAATTAAGTAATTCTTATTCTGGTAAAGTATTTGTACATTTCTGTCAATGTTGTATTTCAGCTGCTTGAATATTGTTTTATATAATCTCTTTTTCCTCTTTTTAAAGGATGATTGTATTTATAAAGGCGAGGTATCGTCAGAGGCCTCAAACCTGCACATTGTTCAATTTCTTATTAAATTCTGTTGTCTTTATATACGTAGACTGCCTGTGCAATTAAATCAACTAAACTAATTAAATTGCATGGTTTAAAGTCTTAAAAAGGTCTCATAAGACTTACATTTAACCCATTGAAACCCTGCTGTATTTTACCCCCATTTGACAATTAAAAGAATGATTTTTTTATATTAAAATTGTGCAAGATTCCCGGAATTTCTGAGCTTTTCTTCCTGTGGCAAAATTCTGGAAACTTTCTGCAAATGTATTCATTGCTGGTTTAAGAAAGCTACAGTTTGTTTTCACATTTCATAGCTGTTTGACTGAGGGACACCAGCTGCATTCTGCATGCATTTACACCTTTCATCAACATGAGCTGCTCAGATTGCGTGCTGTAAATGGGGTCTTAGCGAGTATTCACAGTAATACCAGCGCTATAGTGAATGAGATCGGCCATTACTGACGTTCCTTCTGCACACACAGCTTTAATGATCAACACAGGTTATTACAGGAGACTTCCGCTGTAGTGTATCTGAGCTTGGGGGGAGACTTGGTTGAAGTGATAATAGCGGGCTGCCTAATCATGTCTCGTAGGTGTAACACTGGTGGTTGAATTATTGACATAATCAGCTCTCTCCACTGCTCAGTGATTCACTACCTACAGTTTGGACTCTCTGCACCCGGAAAAACACATTGTTATACAGCACTTACAGGCTTTTTGAAACCATAATACTGTATCAAACATTGACATCTGGTCAGACTTGTAATCTCGCAGGCTTTTAATCAGATAGTTTGTTATATGAATATATATGTTTTGTTTTATTTAGGTAAAGTTCTTGTGCAGCTGCTTTGTGTTTAGAGAACATATAACATTTGAGAACTTATTATACTTATTAAATTAAAAAAGATTTTTATAGAAAAATATATGCATGTTTCTGAAAGCAAAGTATTAAAAAGCATGTTTCTTGTGTTCATTAAGAAATATGTGGGAATTGAGAAGGAATGTCAACAGAAAGGGCAGCAAGAGGGTTAAATGAGGAATTAGATTTGAGGCCATTTCTGTAGAGTCTACTGGATTATATTTGTCCTCCGTTAATATGATTTCTTTGAGGAGAAGTTTAGTCCTTGGATGGATGTGTTCAGTTGATTGACTTTAGTTAGGGTTATTTGTAAATGTTAAGTGATGGATGCGATTTAATACACTGTCTTTTAAAAATCTAAATCTAAATCTAAAATATTCGGTTTACAGATTACAGAATGTATTTACTTACGTGTATTTGTTAGTGAATAATGTAAGAAGTTGTGCTGTTATTCGACAGCGTTTCATGGTATCCGTGGTGATATATTGATGAAGGTGTATTTAAGGACACTGGGAACAGCCTCAGGCATCACCTCGACGACGGCGAGATAGCCCAAACCGTTTGGTGAATAAAGCTTGGTGAATGTGTGTGTGACCGTACGTGTTAATGTCTCCCCAGGCCTCGGTGCGACTGACCTTGGCGACCCTGCTGTATTCTGGGAAGTCTCCTGATGGACACCACATCCTGGTAAATATTTCAGCCAAGTGTGTGTGTTTAAAGAGAAACTCTGCGATCTCTGTGTGACTCTTCCTCACTCACTCGCTTTCACCGTGTGTGTGTGTGTGTGTGTGTGTGTGATCTCAGAGCAGTGCCAAGTACCTACACATGGAGCTTCCTGTACGGATCGCCCATCGCATCAAGGGCTTCCGTAGTCTGCCCTTCATCATCGGCTGCAACCCCACCATTCTGCAAGTGGTAAGACACACTCTCACATACACACACACACACTCTCACATACACACCACACACATCTCTCACACACACACACACACACACACACCACCACACACACTCTCACATTACAACACACTGCTCCTGCTCTGTACAGTGAAGCATCGGCTGCAGCACATTCTATAATAAGAAAGTGACAACTGGGCGCTGCACATTGGAGAGTCACGGCTGAACTTAATGAAAAGAGCGAAATGTTCTCTTAAAGCTGCGGCTGGCACTTTACTTTTGGCGTCATTGGGCAAAAACGGCCACAATAAACCCTTCCAGAGTAATTGTAATTAAAGTGGTCTGAGGAGAAAACGAGACTTATGCACCCTGCCTCTCCTCCTCATTTGCCAAGGTTGTCAAATACAGAACCTTTGGAGACATCAACTATCGTCCTGGAGCCACAATCCAAAGTGTCGGTGTACGACCTGCGAATAACTCAACAACCGCACCTTTCAGCTGCTGCCTCCATTGGTTCCCAGTTGGAAAGGAGTGATTGTGTTTTCAGGAGGAAGAGCTCACAAATCACAGGTTGGTGGTCGATCCCTCAGCTCTGCAATGTCCTTGGGAAAGACCTTCGGACCTCAGAGGCTGCGGTCATATTGAGCTCGATTGAACAACTATTAGAACTATATGGTTTGCGTACTCCA